GTCTGTATTTCTGAACCATAAAGCAGGGATGACAACATGCAAGTCTTGTAGTCGAGTTGCTAATTAAGGCTATTCCTATCCCTAAAGAACTGAATATGTGAGGAGTTAATTTTTTTCTTTAATAGTAAATTAGACCCCCATTCTATGTACACCAATGTCTTTTTGACAAATTTCATATGTTCACTGACCAGCCTGAATGAAATGTGCAAGAAGAAAAAGATCCTGCATAAATAGTAATATATATGATACAATAATATGATATAATATCATATAATAGTGTGTGTATGTGTATATATACGTGTGTGTGTGTGTATATGATATAATAACATGAAATGTGTTTTAAAGGCATATACCAGTATACCTGTATGCCTTTAAAACACATTTCAGCAGTTTTTGGTTGTAGTAATTAATAGGCATTTAAAAACTAGGATTTTTATTAACCCCATCCAGTCTCCAAAAAATGAAATCCATGGATCTTATCATATTAATATTCTCCTTGAAATATTACTTCATAGATTTCTGTTGCCTTGTCTTGCTGCAAGTTGTAGGTGGTACCTTTATTTTGTTGACAGTACACTGTTGGTATTATCATCTCTCTCAGTGCAGGGGCCAAACTTTTTGACAGGCATGCCACAAATTAGCCCCACACCCTCCTTTTCCCTTACCTGGTCTGCTTCTCAGCTTCCTGCTCCCTGCCTAATCTGATACTTTGCTTTCTGTTCCCTGACCTATTTGTCATTGTGCTGCCTGTCCTCTCCCCAGTCCGGTGCATGCCACAATTAGACGTGTACTTGTGGCACTCCTGCTTCCGGTTGGCCACCCAGATCAATTTCATGCCATACAAGATCATAAGATTTGTTTGCTGGGTTATTGTTTCTGTGATAAGTAACATACCTCTTTAAAAAAACCCATGGAAAAAAATCCTGCATCAGACTAAATGACTGAATGATGATGATGATGATTATAGTAATCAATCAGTAAGGGCAGAATCCACTGTACAATAATGACTGTACTTTGTAAGTACACCACTCTGGAAGAGACTTTAATGAAAGGCTCTTGAAGCATTTTATAAATATTAACTAATTCTTAAAACAACAGTAGATACTGACATGCATTAATGCATTTCCTTGAATATAAGACAAGATGACTTTGAATATAAGATGACCCCAATAATTAGATTCTATACCTGGAAAATTTATAAATTTATTATAATTTTCCAGGTATATAATCTAATTATTAGAGGTTTGCCTTGAATTTGTTCCCCCCTCACCGCTACAGCAGGGAAAATGAATCCATGGGGTCAGGTACCCCTTTGCCCTCTGCCCCACCAACTTCTTCCCCCTGCAGGCCCTACCCTTCATTTACTGTCAGACCCTGCTCTTCCTGAGCACGTGGAAGTGAGGCACAAATTTGAAAACACTAACCTTTAAATAAACATACCTGTAGTCATTTGCGTATAAGCACCCATAGAATTAGTTCATCCAGAATTGAAGCATTTTACCTTTTTTGAAACTGCTGCAAGTTTTAGAACAGGTACTCCATAAACACACTTTTAAACAGCACTTTTGTACCCCTCCTATACGTAGTACAAACTATGCATGATATTAATCCAAAGAATTTACCATTTAATTTATTCAGCTAGGCTTCACCAGAGTCAACAGTATTTCAAACCATGGTGACCCCACAGCTCAGCACTACTCAGTATGTATATGTACTCCAGATACCACCCCCAACAAAGAATCCATGTGCTAATTAGCTCCCCACTCAGAGCAGCTTTGTCCAGCTCTACCTCATGGAGGGTAGGTCCCCAGTAATCATAGACAACAAGCGGAGAGAGTGCATGACAGGGATTCTGGGTGAACCGTCTGGGACCCTGCTTGGTGGTGTTTACCAGACATTTAAGGCTGATGACGAAACAGGAATTATTGGGAATGGGAAAGAAAGGCACAGCTCAGCTGTGGGATTGAAGAGGAAGTTGAAATGCATTCAATGTAGTGGCTCACCATGACTGGAAAAAGTGTCAGGCGGGGAGGGGGGACTGTGTGCAATGGGCACTACCATATCTCTTATTTAGATAGGCTGTGCTGATCTATTCTTGTCATAGGTTCCTCAGTCTACAGCATGTGTGCTACTTCTCCAGGGAGGGGGCATGGTGCTCATAAAGCAGTGTTGCTACTTGTTTTTCCGTACACCATGCTGATCTTCTTCCCCCTTTGAAGCATGCTGCCCACAGAATCCCAAGAGCCATGTGTGTCTTCTTCCGAGGATCTGGAGAGGAGAAGGTGGCAAGGAAGACCATGTACAATAAGAAATGGACTGGGGGCATAGGGATGCCAGACATCCTTCTGTTCCTGCGAGCAAGGTACACGAGCCAAATCTGCAAGCTGGTGACCGGTGGAGAGACCAAAACAGCCTATCTTGTCAGGTATTTTGCAGGTCACCTCCTGAGACTGTGGGGGATGTACGCACCAGCTAATGGGAAAGCGTGGATCATAGAGTACCCCTGGTTCTACAGAGTCTTGAATGAGTTGTGGAGTAAGTGCTGGGCTACAGGATGAAGGCCCAGCATCTATGTCAAGCCACAGGAAGATACAGAAGCTGGTCAGAGCCAGAGATATGCTATCGACCGTGGAGCTGCTCCCCAGTGATGACTGCCAGGCCATGTGGGAGCAGATCTTCCACAAGGACCTATGAAAGGACCACAGAGACTTGAATTGGCTAGTAGCCCACCACGCACTCCCAGGGAGGGCATGGAGACACAGAGAGGCAAAAGGGACTCAACCCAGCTGCCCCAGGGAAATCTGCCAAGGCACAACAGAGACTATCAACCACCTCCTCTGGCTCTGCCCATACATCAAGGGGGTGTGGAAAAAGGTAA